TCATTACGCTTTTTTGTAAGAAACAAGTAGGGAGTCGCCAATGAGTTTAACGTAGGTGCACTTCAAACGACGCCTACAATTCTTGTGTATGTAGCTTTGAATAAGATTGGGGGTGTTAGTTTGTTTTTTTTTTGTGACTAATTGTTTGTGATTCTAAGAAAGGCGCCTTCTTTGCTTCACTTTTAGGAATACCACCAAATTTTAAAATTTTAGCCTACCCCTAACCTTTTGCCCTTACGTTACAACCTTTGGGAAAGTCCTTTCGACCTAGTGGTTGAGTCATATACCGAGGGAGGGCATTATGAGTTAAAGCCTAAGGAAAAGGGATGCAAGTTCAAGATGTCGAGAAACCCTAAAAATTCTACTCTTTTTCTGGTTCCTTCGAGGAACCATAGAGACGCTCACTAAGGGAAGATTTGAAACCATAGGGAGGACGCAGCTAGATTGGTTGGGATGGATATGGATTGCGCCTCATTAATTCTTTACGCTTAGCATACCTTATGTTTCAATCAACCGTGAATATCTTGAAGCATGCATACCCATTTCATATAGAAAAGTGTTCATACATTTGCATTTTGACCATTTGTGAAAGTCCTTGGCAAGAGCTATTTGTTTGAATTTTGTTTTACTTTCTTTTCTTTTTAAATGATTTTGCCTCATTTTATTTCAAAGAGTTGTGGGTTAAACTCTAAGGAAACCCTTACGAGACCTCACTCTTCCTCATAAGTAGGGTTGGCAATCCCTGACCCGACCCGATAACCCGACCCGAAGTTACTGAGAGAAACCCGAACCCGACCTAAACTGAACGCGAACAACCCGAATTCGACCCGATTAGACCAAAATGTCATATATCGTTATACTATTAAGTTTTAAACTATTTTTGATAGTTTTTAAGCACGACCAAAAATCTGACCCAAACCCGACCCGCTGACCCGAATTGCCACCCCTACTCAAAGCGACTTTGGGGTTTAAAGGGCTTGTTGTAGCTAAAAACAACTGTGATTCCTATGTTAGTGAGTCTTAGTGTATATCCTTCTTCTCTCTTTTTCTTTTCTAAATAAGCCCTCTTTATTCCTTTTTAGCTTTTGTTTTACTCAGGACGAGCAAAAGTCTAGCTTGGGGGAATTTAATGAGTTTCATTTATGGCACTCATAGGGTAGTGTTCTAGGATATTTTCACCTTATTTTTCATGCTTTTCTTTTATCATTTTGGTCATTTCTCCTTTAGTTTCTCTATTTCTTCTTTCTTCGTGTTTTACTGTCCTTTATGTGCTTTTCTTCGTGTTTTCCTTTTATATTGCTCTTTTTCTCTTCTATTTTCTCTCTTTGGTTTCTTTTGTAGGTGCCAAAGGACTTAGCTTCGCAAAGGATTCAAGAGGATTAAAAAGAGCTAAGAAAAGGAGATTCAAGCGTCTTGGAGAGGGCTTAGAGAGGGCTCGGAGACGGCGCTCCGCTTCTTCTCATGGCCGCGGGCGCAGGTTAAGTACATCATTTTGGTGATTTTGGGCAGGAATTCTCCGCGCCCTAGCCGCGAGCGCGGAGAATCCGGAGAGACCACTCCAGATAAAGAGACTGCGGCACCTAGAACAGGGAATCTGCCGCACCCTGAGCCGCGGGCGCGGGTTTTTCCCAGATTGCCCGCAGAGTTAGTTATGGGTTCCGTACCTATTTCTTCGTGCCTGTGGGGTCTTCTTGGAGAGGGCGCAGCCGTTCATTTTTTCTTATTTGTCTATAAATACTCTTGTAAATCCTTTTAAAGGCCAACTTTTAGATAGTATTTCATTTGCTTAGTTTTTAAAGAGAGAAACTAGAGAGAAGTTAGAGAGAAAGTGGAGATTGTAATCCTTGGATTTGATTTGTAATTCAACATTGCTTCTTCAATCAAGTTTGTGATTCTTCATCATATCAATCAAAGTTTGTGAGATTTCTTTCCTTTGAATTTACTTCAATTGCAATTTACTTTTATGCTTGAATGTTTGGTTTGGATTTTGATTTAGTTTTGAGAATTTGTTGATTGATTGTATTTCCTTTTGATTTAGCTTGAGATGAATATGTTTGTGATTGAATTTGTTTTGGCTTTCAATTTCACCATGATTAGTGAGTAGATTAGTTGCTAAGGAGAAGGGGAAGCATGCTTGATTGATTATTTTTCTAGTTGATGATAATTGATTGATTGAATTGTTGCAATTAAATTGGTTGACATAGTTGTGCATGTGATTAATTAGACTAGGAGTGATCAACCTATAAGACTAATCTAGATTGCATTGAAAATTTCAATGACACGAACAATTGATTTGAGAATTGCTTTAATTGATTGAATATTTTATTGTGATTCTCCTTCTTAGCCATTCATAGTGAACCCTAGCTTGGTTTATAGGAGATAACCTTTGAATTCCTTTGATTGCAACTATTGTTTGTCCCTTACAATGTTTGAATCAATTGGGTGATCTATGAATTAGTATGATTGTTGAGCTTACATGTGGAACCTATATCCCTAGTGTTTAGCATATTGAATGAAGTCTTTGAATTGTTTTGATTCTTGTTATTCTAGTAACCAACTCAACCATTGATAATTCTTTTATTTATCTTAACATTAGACTATAGCATAGCTCCGATACATTCCATTGGGTTTGACCCTTAAATTGCCGCTATACTCGTATAAGGTTTGTTAAGCGTTTACAAATTTAGTTTGGCTAAGGGAGAATTAGCTGACGACCTAGTTTCACCCCTTGTCAATTGTTCATTTGTAAGTTTCTCGAGGCGCAGAAGCTCATGATAAAGATCCTTAAGGCGTGGAAGACCGTTATTCAGTAAATCGCTTAAGACGTGGTGGTTTACTGTAGAATTCCCAAGGCGTGGAAGATTGTCGTTCAATGGATCGATCGAGGCGGGGTGGTTCACTATATAATTCCCAAGACAAGGAAGGACATCATAAAAGAAATTGAAGGCAGCTACAAGCGGAGTAGTCTTCAGGCGATATCCCTTAGCTTAAGGAAGATCGTTAAACAAAAATAGGTTACCCCAGAGACGTGTGCTCGACGGTGCAAGATATGCGTTTCTTAACTCTTTTATATGTTTAACTAACGCTGGTTTGCTGGTATCGGCATTCCAAGAATGATTTAGGATTGCAGAACGTTCTGAATCATTCTCCGTCCCTATCGCTACATTGACTTTTGTTTTCGAAACTTGTGTTTCTCCAAACTCAGTCTGATCCTTGCACTTTTTTACATGTTGTTCTCCTTAAAATCTGCACAAGAAATGAACCGTGCCCTGAATATCTAAAATTCATAACATCACCAACCTTCAGATTATTTTCCTTCACAAATTTGGACCAGCCATCTCCCAAAATAGTTTTCCACTAATCATTCTCTTCTTCATGTACCATAGTAACAAACCAAAGTCTGGAATCATCATGAACTTATAATTCAACACCTAATTCCCATCATTCAACAATTCTTCGAAACCATTAGGAATACACTGTATATATATACAAAATTCATCAAAATCGAAACTAAGAAAAGTATAACTACCAATACATTAAAAAAAAGGAGATTAGGCAAATATTATTGAACTATACCCGATTTTTGTTATTCTCTGCTGCAAAGGGAACAGAAAACTTGAAAGAAAAAATAGCCATGCAAATTTGATGCAGCTTTTTGAGCTATATGACTATGAATTTAATTTTTAGAACTTGAAAATTTAAGCTAGGCTATAGAGGCATGCAATATATAGAGCAAGAAATATGATATTGCATTAATTAAATTATTTATTAATAATGCACGTATATCGAAACATATGGCTTTGACAAGAAAACTCATGAAGAATATTAAGTTACATAAACTTTTTATCTCCAATACTCAATAGTTGTAATAATTACATGTTTTAATACCAATGCAATTTAGTTGATAAACATATAAAAGTTGTGAGCTTTGGCATTATATATAGTATTATTTTATTCTTATTCAATATTTGAGAAATCAAGTAACCTTAATGATTTATCACCCTACCAAAATTTAAACACAACATTGCATTAATAAAAACTAAATAATAAACAACACATGTTTAGCAAAATTATTAACCAATCCAAAACAGACAATTTATCCTAATCATTAATTAAAATTTCAAAATCTTAATTATACCATTCATTTAAATTATGTACATTCTTTTATACATCTATATTAATCATTGTTGCCTCCCTTTAGAGACATTATTGTTTAAATACATGTATGTCTATTTGTTATTAAAAAATAAGTGTTAATAAATTTTTAACCATTTTATAAATTAAGGGATATAATAGTGGAAGCTAATAAGAACAACTTATGGAGATAATCCTTTAGTGCATGTTTTAATTAAAAGATTTTCAGCATCTAATAGAATTTCGCAAATTTAAAGATCATCAAGTATAACTTTTCATATAGTTTTGCATGTAATTTTTAAGACACAATTACTATTAGTTTGTAGTTAATTTATTATTGGACAATTAGAAGTAGTATTTGAGCATTTTCACAATTCAAACATAGGTGGATAACCTATTTGAAAAGCCACCTTTAAGTTAGAAATGAACTTAGCATATCTTGCACCCTATCATTACAAACATAAGATATTAACTCAGCACATAAACTTTATCTTAAAGGTTATAATTATTGTTTATGACTATCAGTTTCAAAGACATAAACATGATGAGGTGCAATAGTTCAAAATGAATATCTCCAAGTCTATAGCTATCTTGTGGGTTTAATATACTGCCATTTACTACTATTGCTAAATAAAATTTAGTCCATACAAACACTTACAATACTAAAAGTCAAAAAGATACTAATAATCAATACTTATATATTAATAAAGTACAATCATTAAACTTAAAGATACATAATTTGCATACTTTAAAAAATTACTTAAGGTAAATTCATTCATAATTTCCTACAATGAGCAAATTCCATAGACAAAATTCTATACTAATTAAGCTCCAAACCTAAATCTTACACTAGCTACACTCCATATCTAGCAAATACGATCGAAATTACTAGGAGAGCGATGATAGGCATCTGAATCAATCGAAGACTCGGAATCATAAATTTCAACATCACTACTAAAGTAATTTCCACTATCAGAACTAGAAGACTTATGCCCTCCATCATCTTGTTCATCATCATCATTAACTTCCTCCTCAAAACCATATCCATCAGCTTCACCCCCCTCCTCATCATCATTATCATCCTGTTCCACCTCTTCCTCTTCTTCTTCCTCCGATTTTTGCTCCCCTTCTTTTTCTTCTTCCATTCCCTGCTCCTCTTCTTCCTCTTGCATGGACACAGCAACAGGCTCCTCTACTTCATTCACCAAAACAGGATGCTGACGTGGGGAAAACTAGGTCGTTGGACTAATCCTCCCTAAGCCAAACAAAATTTATAAACACTTAACTAACCTAAATACAAGTATAGAGGTAAGTCAAGGGTCGAACCCAAAGGAACGGTAATGTCTAAGTGCTTCCACTTATGTGCCTAAGCTAGGTCGAAGTCTAAGGATAAAAGAGGACACTAAAAACTACTAAGACAAAGAAACCAAACAAATAAAGTGATAGGGATTAGGATTCACAAATAATAGCAAAGAACATAGAAAATTGGGATAGGAAGTCGACTAAGTCAAGCAATGTGAGGGAAGATCAATCATGCAACCAAAAGAGCATATCAAGCTATTCTCCTAAAGGTCTAACTAGCGTCAACTACGATAAACTCTAGCTAGGAAACGTCACAAGACACCTCAATTGTGTAAATGCAAGCCACAAATCAATGGTCCGTATCGATGTGAACTTACAATGCAATCTAGTGTGAATAACTAGGGTGATCAAGCCTAAATCAAACACACACATGCACATAATCAATTAACCAATTTAATCACATCATCAACTCTATCAATTTCCCCAAATCTACATCAATCCATCACATAATATAAGCTTCACCATCACCCTAGCAAGTAAACTACTCTAACAACATCATCAAATCAACAAACAACTAAAGGATTCAAGAATCAACAATATATGAAGAACAATTACACTAATCAAAAATCAAACATTAAAATCCAATCAAAACAAATCAAATAAACATGAATATTAAACAAAACAATAAATGAGATAGAGTTAGAAATGCTCATTGATAATAGAGAAGATCTCCAACACAATTGTCACCATTGAATCTTCAATCTCTCAATCACCATTGAAATTCCTCACTTTCTATCTCTAAAATCTACTCCTAAAACTAACCCTAAAACTAAAGAGAGAAGCTCTCAACTAAGCTAAGAATATGATCAAAATCTAATATGAAACTTGCTTCTAAAACTTACCCCAAAAATCGGGTTTACATAGATGTATATAGAGGCACGAAAACACCAAGAACCGAGCACAAAATACCCACGAAGGCGCGCCCGGGCAGCAGGGGAGGTGCGCCCGTGCACGCAAGGGGTGCGCCCGCGCCACCCTTAGGTGCGGCCGCGCCACCCCTAGGTGCGCCCTCGCCTAGCTGGGTTCCTTCGAGATTCTCGCGGCTTGGTGGGTTCGCTAAGGTCGCATGACTTATGATGTTGATGAACACTAGGAGTGGAAGTAGCTAATGATCTTGATTAGTGGGAACACCACTTCTTAATGGTAGCACGGCATGAGAGCGCAAGAGCCAAGACTTGGAATTTCCACTTCCTTGCATCTTGAGCTTTCCAATGTCGTGAGCTTGCTCCAAAGGATTTCTCCACCTTAGTAGATCACCAATATCAAGACTTGAACCTCGTACAATACCTACAAACACGGAAATAGAGAAAATAAAGGAGAAAAGGCTAGAAAACCAACGAAATACAGAAAAGCTACAAAATAAGAGAGGAAAGGTAAAACTAAACAACAAAGCATAAAACTAAGCATTTATTAAGAAAGAAAGCTATGAAAAGAGGATGAAATCAACCTAAATGCTCATCAAATGGGTGCCATTTATGACACCCATCAAGTGCCTCCAAGCTTATCTTTTGCTCGTCCTCGAGCAAAACATAACCAAGGGAGTGAAAATGATGAGCTTATTCGAATAAACTAAAGAGGATAAGGGACAAGAATATACACTAACTCACTTTCGTAGGAATCACAGTCAATTTTAGTAACTAAAGACAAGCCATTTAAACCCTTAGATCGCCCTAGAGGACGAGTGATGCTCTCGTAAGGGTTTCCTAAGAGTTTAACTCATAACACTCGTAATAATACAAACAAGGCAAAGCATGAAAAGAAATCAAGAGAAAAACAAAACAAACACATGTTCATGAAAGGACCTTTCCAAATGTACAAGCACAAATAAATGCAAATCTTTCTAAACAAGCAAGGGAGTGCACGTTCCAAGATACCCAAGGTTGATTGAAACATAAATATGCTAAGCATAGGAACTAGCTTTCACAATCCACTTTCATCCCAAACGATCTTACCACGTTATTCCCACTAGTCTCATATCAACCTTTAGTGAGCATCACAATGATTCCTCGAAGGAACCGAAAAAGTGAATTTTTAGGCTACTCGACATCTTGACTATGCATCCCTTCTCCTTAAGCTAAAACTCACATTTCTCTCCCCCGATGAATGACTTTACCACTTAGGTCAAAAGGTCTTTCCCCAAGGTTGTAACGTTAAGGCAAAAGGGTGAGGGTAGGCTAAAATTTAAAATTTGGTGGTTAACCTAAATTATAAAGCAAAGATTTTCTTTACACCATAACCAAGTAATCACCAAACAAAAACAACAACACCCCCAAGCTTATTCAAAGCTATAAATCACAAACATATACACAAAGAGCGTGAGAACGCTTCCCCCCAAGCTTAAATGGAGCATTGTCCTCAATGCTCAAAAAGGGAGAATACTCACATAAAAAATATTTTTTAGTTTTTTATTTTTTTTTCACTTTTTTTTTTCTCGTTTTCTTGTTTAGAAGTGCTTTGTCCTCGCCTCTTTTAACTTGGACGGATTTTCCAACTTTGCACTTATAATGTCCTTGCCTTATTTTTTTAACTTTGGACGGCTTTTTCAATTATGCATTTGCCATTATTCACAAAATACTCACTACACAAGCTTGCTTACAAATATGAACTAATATCCAAACTCATATACCACAATCTCCAAAATATGACCATTTGGTTCACAAAAACAAAAAATAGAACAAAAAGAAACAAAAGGCTCAAGAATCTAAAGATGTGGCTTGAGAAGAAGGGAAAAAGGCTCAAATGGTTAGCAAGTAGGAAAATGTAAACCCAAAAACTAAAAATGAAGAATACTATCCTAGAAGAGAAAAATTACCACCCCGAAAATATGCCCTTGTCCTCCCTAAATGGTTCGGTCTCAGTCTTAAGAAATATGAGTTAAGATTCTAGATTAGGTCCGCAATAGTCAAGGATTCATGCCGCTCATGCAAATAAGTGTAGAAGGCTTGAAAAACAAAGAACCTCACTCGGATGTAGCAAAAACTCACTATTGGTGTCAAATCGACTATAGGAAGCAACTACCAAACATGCCACAAACAAGTAGAATCCGGTTTCATGATCCCACTAGTTCTAACCAACTACCTTAGCATGCTTTATCCTAGAATCAACCAAGCATACTCTCAAACCGTGCACACCGTTACCATTTAAGAAGAATAGCATTCAATTATACAAGTCCAAATGTTATTATGTCCAAAGCAAGAACAAAACAATACACATTGCAAATTTGCCTTGATAGAAACAAAAATATTTTTGGAGTTTTTTCAAAATATAAGAAACATGGAAAAGCATATACAAGGGTGCATAGCATATACTTCCTCCGTTCTTTTAATATTGCAACAAGGAGGAAATTACGCATCCCAAAACACATTTTATATGCTAAATATCTGTAATTGTGTTAGAGTAAAAATTATAAAAAGTTGATATTGTGAAAGTATTATATGAGACGAATCCAACAAGATCCCACTTGACTATATTTTGCTTAACGTATAACTCATATTATATGGTCAAACGAGAGTGATGAATAGTGCAAAAAGTCCATTGTTGCAATATTAATAGAACGGAGGAAGTATGAATCATCATCCCACCAAACATGATAGAATACCCTCCCCCAATCTTGAATGAGACAATACACTCAAATCATAAAGCATGGAAACCATGGGAGGGGAAAACAAGGAGATCAATCCAACAAACCAACATATGTCCAACAAGTCATCATCCACTAGAGAAAGAGCAAGGAAGGATATTACCGGATATTAGGTGGGTGTAAATACTCGCAGATGACCCAATTAAACCTTTCAAAGCTAACAACCTCTAATATTGAATCTTGCCTTCCATATGCTAGCAATTGTGGTGCTAATCTTCCTTGATTCTTGATCCAAACCAATTCACCAAAGTATATCAAGTCACGTGCCTAGAAAAAAGGCACACAAAAATTTCCATGAGAGAAAAGCTATTCTAAAAAGAAAAGGAAAATCTAATCTAAAACACGGGTTACTTCCCGAGAAAGGCTTGCTTAAGGTCCAAGCTTGACCGCTCTAGTAAAATAATAATTCAACGCACGCAAGAGCTTGTCAAATGCACTACTACACATTTCATATGAAAGTAAGTGTGCACATGACAAAAATAAGGCATGCAACAAGCATAGTGCACACCTATGAGGAGAGAGATGCCAAGAGAAGGAAGAAGAATCAAAAGAAAACTCAAGAAAATAAGAAGAAGAAGAAGAAGAAGAAGAAGAAGAAGAAGAAGAAGAAGAAGAAGAAGAAGAAGAAGAAGAAGAAGAAGAAGAAGAAGAAGAAGAAGAAGAAGAAGAAGAAGAAGAAGAAGAAGAAGAAGAAGAAGAAGAAGAAGAAGAAGAAGAAGAAGAAGAAGAAGAAGAAGAAGAAGAAGAAGAAGAAGAAGAAGAAGAAGAAGAAGAAGAAGAAGAAGAAGAAGAAGAAGAAGAAGAAGAAGAAGAAGAAGAAGAAGAAGAAGAAGAAGAAGAAGAAGAAAGAAGAAGAAGAAGAAGAAGAAGAAGAAGAAGAAGAAGAAGAAGAAGAAGAAGAAGAAGAAGAAGAAGAAGAAGAAGAAGAAGAAGAAAGAAGGCAAACTCTCCTCAAAATATTTTTGGGTTGCAACATCACCCTTTTTCTCAATTGGAGACAAATGAGCCTCATACAAATCATCATACACAAGGGGGTCCCTAATAGGCTCACTAACAAAGGAATGGAGAAAAATAGGGCAATAGGGGATGTGGTAAAACTTTTGAGAGAAAGGGGTATGAGAAATAGGCAAAGGGGTAGCTACTCCCTCAACACAAGGTCCCATATCGCCAATGAAGGCATGGAAATCAATCATAGAGTCCTCAAAAGAGGAACACTCATGATCACCATCTCCCTCAAACATCCAACTCCCAAGAGGAACCACATAATCTCCTCCACTACCTTCTTGAACAACAACTCCCTTAACTTCCTTAAAGCCTAGAGTCTCAAAACCATGCATGAATGGATGCAAGTATAACTCAAAATCATCTCTCTCTCATGAACCATCCTCAATGAACTTGCTTAAAAGGCTATGGCTATTCCTTATACACTCAATAAACACATTTGACATAACCTCAAACGAGTCCAAATACTCATGGATAGAAGAGTCACATTCATACACTTGAGACTCATCACAATCAACAAAGGAAGAGATGTCTAGACTTAAAATATCATCAAAATCATCATCACTCTCGACTCTCTTTCCTTCACTCCTATGCTCAACAATAGGATCCTCACACACTCTTGGTTGCTCAAAATTATCATCATCCTCAACACACACATTGGATTTGAAATTTTCCCACTCAAGTGTCAAAGATGACAATTGGCTTTCTAGCTCTTTACCTCTCTTTCTTCCCTCCTCAAGAGGCTCCTCACTCTTTTTCATCAACTCCAATTGCCTTCTCATAGAATTAAGAATCGACTCCTTTTTAGGCCCAAGATCATCACTAAGCTCAATATGCCTAATTTGAGTTTCCAAAGTAGCAATAAGAGATTCAAAAGGTGTAGAAGATTGAGGCTCAACAAGAGAAGAAGAAGTACAACCAAGATTGGATGAATCAACATTAAGATCACGATCATATACATCACATTGGGGGGTGGGGACACAATCAAACATATGAGATTTGTTAACATGAGCATGCACTTCGTTACCATGAACAAAAGAGGAAATAGAATTGGAAGCATTTGTTCTAGGTTCAACTATGGGATCATGTGACAAATCATGGAAAATCATGCTAGCATTGGAAGAATTAACACATTACTCATCAAAAATAGAAACATGATTACCCCTATTATATTCACCCTTAGCAAACCAAACATAAAAATCCCAAGCATCATCAATTGAAAATGTTCTAAATCTCCCATTACGCATGCATTCAACTTCATTCCTAGTTTGCTCATTCAAACAAATATAACAAATCTCACAAGCCTCCCAAAGACTACACCGATTATAGTCAAGAAATCCCTTAAATCTATTGAAATATTCACAAAAAGGTTCATCATCATATTGAGGAAATGAGAGACATGCTATTTTTACAAAGCAAACAAAAATCAAATAAAAGAAAAGTATAAACAAAGACCTAGACTCAAGCAATCAAAAACACTCAAACATAGACACCGTTCCCCGGCAACGGCGCCATTTTGACGAGGGGTGAACTAGGTCGTTGGACTAATCCTCCCTAAGCCAAACAAAATTTATAAACACTTAACTAACCTAAATACAAGTATAGAGGTAAGTCAAGGGTCGAACCCAAAGGAACGGTAATGTCTAAGTGCTTCCAATTATGTGCCTAAGCTAGGTCTAGGTCTAAGGATAAAAGAGGACACTAACAACTACTAAGACAAAGAAACCAAACAAATAAAGTGCTAGGGATTAGGATTCACAAATAATAGCAATGAACATAGCAAATTGGGATAGGAAGTCGACTAAGTCAAGCAATGTGAGGGAAGATCAATCATGAAACCAAAAGAGCATATCAAGCTATTCTCCTAGAGGTCTAACTAGCATCAACTACGATAAACTCTAGCTAGGAAACGCCACAAGACACCTCAATCTTGTAAATGCAAGCCAGAAATCAATGGTCGGTATCAATGTGAACTTACAATGCAATCTAGTGTGAATAACTAGGGTGATCAAGCCTAAATCAAACACACACATTCACATGATCAATTAACCAATTTAATCACATCATCAACTCCATCAATTTCCCCCAATCTACATCAATTCATCACATAATATAAGCTTCACCATCACCCTAGCAAGTAAACTACTCTAACAACATCATCAAATCAACAAACAACTAAAGGAATCAAGAATCAACAAAATATGAAGAACAATTACACTAATCAAAGATCAAACATCAAAATCCAATCAAAACAAATCAAACAAACATGAATATTAAACAAAACAAAAAATGAGATAGAGTTAGAAATGCTCATTAATAACAGAGAAGATCTCCAACACAATTGTCACCATTGAATCTTCAATCTCTCAATCACCATTGAAATTCCTCACTTTCTCTCTCTAAAATCTACTCCTAAAACTAACCCTAAAACTAAAGAGAGAAGCTCTCAACTAAGCTAAGAATATGATCAAAATCTAATATGAAACTTGCTTCTAAAACTTACCCCAAAAATCGGGTTTACATAGATGTATATAGAGGCACGAAAACACCAAGAACCGAGCACAAAATACCCACGAAGGCGCGCCCGGGCAGCAGGGGAGGTGCGCCCGTGCACGCAAGGGGTGCGCCCGCGCCACCCTTAGGTGCGGCCGCGCCACCCCTAGGTGCGCCCTCGCCTAGCTGGGTTCCTTCGAGATTCTCGCGGCTTGGTGGGTTCGCTAAGGTCGCATGACTTATGATGTTGATGAACACTAGGAGTGGAAGTAGCTAATGATCTTGATTAGTGGGAACACCACTTCTTAATGGTAGCACGGCATGAGAGCGCAAGAGCCAAGACTTGGAATTTCCACTTCCTTGCATCTTGAGCTTTCCAAATGTCGTGAGCTTGCTCCAAAGGATTTCTCCACCTTAGTAGATCACCAATATCAAGACTTGAACCTCGTACAATACCTACAAACACGGAAATAGAGAAAATAAAGGAGAAAAGGCTAGAAAACCAACGAAATACAGAAAAGCTACAAAATAAGAGAGGAAAGGTAAAACTAAACAACAAAGCATAAAACTAAGCATTTATTAAGAAAGAAAGCTATGAAAAGAGGATGAAATCAACCTAAATGTTCATCAAATAGGTGCCATTTATGACACCCATCACATGCTGCTCCAATTGATTACCTAAGACAACCACTTCATCATGGACAACTTCTTTAACCACTTCCTTATCATCAATTATCTGCATGTCCAACTTTTCCACCTTAACATCACCATCCACACTACTATTTCCATTATCAACACCGCCATGCATTTGAGATGATTCACCAACAATAAAACCCGACTTCGTTGCAATAACTAAATCATCATCATTGCCACAATCCGCAAGCTGCATGTTTATCTCAATGAGCTCTTTTAACAACTCATCAACCTTACGAATCAAGTCCACTCAGAATTTCAGGATTTCACAAAGTTGTTCTTTAAAATTTTCCTTCTTCTGTTCAAGAAAGAAGGGACATGCATGCAAAAATGAAGCTTTCCATTGTTTTCATCCATATTCTAGGCTTAGAAAAAGTTATTGTAAAAAAAAAGGGAACTTTCTTTCTGACAACATAGAAAATTATACAAAGAGATGAATTGTTAATGAGGAAAACTTGGACTATATAACCGTCAATTGCAACTCTTTCACATACATGTCTATTCATATCTTTTGCCAACCCCCTTTTACATAAAAATGAATAGTAGCAACTGTTCACAAAATTTACATGTACTTAGAAAATAGAAATCTAATTGTTTAATAATTAAGAGCTTCTTAAATATACTACATGAAAACATTCTTAGAATACAGATTAAAAAGTTTGCATTTTTCTATAATTTAGTGTCCACAAACAATTACACGAAAAAATCCACTTCAATAGCAATCAATTTAAATCGATATTTAAATTACTTATATAGACATAATAAAACACATGTATATAACAACATCAAATGCTTAAAAACATGTAGAAAAACATAAAATTAAATTATTATTTACAAAAGTAGGTACTTGTAGACACCCATTTGTGTCTCGCCAAAACCAAACCCGGTGATGAGTACCTTTCACGTCAAATCATAATCGAATGAAGTGAAAGTGTGGAAAGTTTAGTGTTGCGGATAGTTTTAATTTCTTTTCTTTTCTCTCTATTTTTGAAAATCTATTTTAAGAAAACAGCCAATCCATTTTGGTTGGTCCATGGAAAGGGTCCATTAATAGTGTAGTTGGATGGGGATTGAAAAGAGCTTTCCAACGATATATTATAAGCCCAATTCCGATGAATATTGAGGAAGTTATGGCCAAATTACTAAACTGGGCCCGGTTTGAGCCTTATATGCGGTCCAATGATCTAGGGGAGGGCCTATATAGATTTATCATTCCTAATGCAATTAGGAATGGTTTTAGTCTTCTAGATTCTTCTATAAAGTTCTTTTCATTCCTAATTCAATTAGCATTGATAAATTGACTTTTGTTGGCTTTTTATATTTTTAATCAGAATAAAAGAGTTTTTTTATGAAAATACGATTTTATCCTCCTGTACGGTTAAATTCTATCTGATTTTAGAAAACGCGTCAAAAACGGGATTAACGCCTAACGCCAGACATTAGCGCCTGGCGCTAAGCCTGGCGCCTGGCGCTAATGTTAGCGTCTGGCGCTAATTGCCAGCGTCGGCGCTAATTGCCAGCGTCGGCGCTAATCAAGTTTAATTTGCGCCAGAACTCTGATTTGATTTCCTATCTTTTTGGCTGATTTTCCCTATAAATAGCCTCCTAAAAACTCCGTTTTAAATCATCTACAATCATCAACTCTCTCTAAGCTAAAATATCTTCTCTCTCTTTTCTAAACCTACTCTTTTTCATACAAAATTCCGCATTCACAAGACCTAGATACACTTAGCCATATTCGAAGTTGCCTTCGCCCTAGACGTGAAAGGTTTTAATTTCTGAGGGTTTGGTCCCAAATCTCTCTTTCAATTATTTAATTTAATTGTTGTTTATTATTTTCCTTGAAATTACTAACGTGTGTATTTTGTTATTAGAAAGAGATACGATGCATCCAAGTAAGTACTTTAATGGTTTTTATTGATGTTATTATGTAGAATTCATGCTTAGGTCGTTATTATGATTCCTAGTATTATGTTAGGATGTTTTCCTTAATTTGATTTTTAGGGTGACAACAATAAATTCCTAGTATCATGTCTAGGGTAACTTTAATATCAAGTATGATTAAAAGTATGATGCCTTTTATTTTGTTCCTAATATTTATGATTTTTAGTATCATGTTAGGGTTAAAGCTTTGATTTTTATTGCTTAGTGACATGCTAGGGTTTGTTATTAATCTTGTTAGTATCATGCCTAGGATCTTGCTATTATTATGCTTTAACATGATTATTTTAATTATGATTATTTTGATGATTATAATTTTTTTTGTTATATTTATTATGTTGCTTGACATTTATTTTTATTGCCTGATCACGCCTTTTATGCATTTCATGTTTAAAGGGAATTGGTACTTGTAATCACGCTTCTATAAGATAATTAATAATCTTGTTTAGGGTTAATTTGATTATAATTCAAGTGATCGCCAATAATAGATTTATTTGTGCATTAATATTCAACCAACATAGATAAACAGGTTTAGGGTAATCCTATTGATTGCATGTTAGTCAGAAAGCGCACATGAATACGATCAGAATAAAGTAGAGGCCTATTATTAGGGCAGGTTTAATCTCTTTTAAGTTGGATTTGTACCTTCATCCTCGAACTACCAGTCATGGTTCCAAACCTATTGGAGTTGACGATCTCATGGATCGTTAAGGGGTGTAACCTTCACCTCGTGAACGGTTTACAAGTTCCTAAAACTTGTTGGCGACTCTTTTGCTCTATCTTCTTTCCCTTTGGACGCCACCGTACTTTAGTGTATGATCACAGTGGGGTTCAAGCTAGGGGTAATGCTTGAAATATTCCCTACAGTTTTTGGCTACTTCATTGGGAGGATTTCTATTTTAATTCCTGAAATTTATTTCGGCAATGATTTAGAATGAGTGGATGAGACTCGAAAAGTTGCAAGTATTTCATGTGCGTAATTTTGATTAACATTATTGTCATATGAATAAAAAAGATCTCATTGGAAAGACCATCCGTAATGAGTTAAAACATAGGATTTTTACACGTAGGAAATTTGAGGAATATCTTTCACAACTAGGATTGAAATAATGCTGCGCGAAAGTGGAAAATTTTATCGAGCAAAGAAAGCTGCTGAGGCATGTAGGAACTAGCGTCAACGAACAGAGATTAGCGCCAGTATTTTGACTTTAGCGCCAGACGACAGCTCTGTCGCCAGGCGCTAATGCTAAAAGTTGGCGCCAGCCTCTGTTTGTTGGCTCCAAGTTCTTCCAATACCGAGCCAGAAATATGAGTTCTAATTTCGACCAGTTTTTAGCATTGTTTGCTCGATCCTACTTCCTGATTGAGTTTTTCTCACTTTTCTGAAACCCATATGTGTTCTACATATGGACATAACCCTCTGGGAATTCATGCTCCATCTACCTGATTGAACGCTCTGAGCAACAAAGAGTACATCCGAGAATGTTGAATTCACCAAACCATGGAAGCGAGTTTTTAACTCGCGGTGTCCCATCCACTCGCGCCAACCCTTCACGGTTAGGCTTCCGCGCAGTGCATCCGGACAATTAACCATGGACCCTCTTTGACTAACCCATATCGCGAACTTTACAGAACTAGAGCCATGGTTAGGTTGCAAACTCATTGCATCATGTTGTGCCTACTTGACTAATTGTGCATTTTTTGTTGTGCATTCTCTATGTGTCTTTTCCTAACCGTTTGTTAGACTTGCGTTAAGACAAAATAAACTGCTTAATGGCTAAAAAGACTTTGCTTAATTAATTAATTAATTTTGGTAATTAGAGTCTAATAATCTAATCAGAGTTGATTTAGTACGACTTTAGGCATACCCTGTATAGTAATAATACCGAAAGTAGTTCCAGATCAACGTTCCAACACTGGGGCCGAGATTTGGACTGCAGCGCCACTCTGTGGAGTGTAGCGCCTGGCGAAAACTCTATCGTCCGGCGCTACACTATACATTGCGGCGCCAGTCCTGTCGTTTTGGCGACAGTTCGGTTTATTGCTCGAGTCATCACCTTGTGTCTAATTAAACAGTTTGCTAATTAATTCTGTTGATTATACCTTGTTAAGTCATTAATTGAGTCTAGTCACATAGTCTAGCCACATGGTCATGACACGAGTCTTAACATGTCACCTACACTCACTAGTCTAAGCACACACTTTGTACATACTCTTTTCACATAATGACCATGTCTTAGGTTCATGCATGAGTCGGTTTTTTCCGTCATTTAAGTTAGGGGTACATTCCATTCCTTATTCTTCATATCCCTCCATCTACATCATCTTTCTTCACTTCCTCCATCCATTGCATGTTGAATAGAGTTTGAGTCAAATACTTAACAATGAATATCCCCAAATTCCTTTTCCACAGTACTTGGTCGAGGAGAGAAGGGTGATTAATCAAGGACAACCTCTTTATTCAAGCCTTACTTTTTGATAAACTGATTCGTCAAAAGAGGAAAGCTAAAAAGATAATGGCAAGTCAAGAAGAGGTCAATGAACTAAGGAGTCAATTGACTGACGTGACTGAGGCGTTAAAGGCTTTAACCCTCAAAATTGATAACCCTGTGAAGCAACAACAAATGAACCTTATGCAAGAAAGCTTGAGCAAGCTATCTAGTGACTATAAATTTTAGGGCATTAGTTCACAAGGGGTCTCGCTGGACAAGGAACTTCTTCCGCATAAGTTCAATGTCAACGACATCCCAAAATTCAAGGCAACAGATAACCCTTAGTTTCATCTAAGAGCTTTTGAAACTATAATGAACATTAAGGGGATTGATAAGAAAGTCTTTCATTCTTTGTTTTCTTTATCCCTTGAGACTGTTTGTCAACAATGGCTCTTTTCCCTTGACAAAGAGAAAACCTCTTCTTGGGAGTCGATAAAAAACGCTTTCATAGATAGATATAAGTGCAACATTCAAGACGAAACAGACCACAGACAACTTGAGATGTTAAAACAAAAAGAAAACGAAGGGTTCAATTCTTTCTTCAACAAATGGAGGGAAACTTCCGCTAACATGGTTAAGGTTCCTACCGAAAAAAAATTTGTGAGGATGTTTTATCAAGAATATCCAAGGGAAGTATTCAAAGCACTTAAAATACCAACACAACTTGAATACTTTCAAGGCTGTGTATAATATAGACATTGACATTGAAGATGACCTTCTGAAAGATAATAGTGCGAGAGGAAATAAGAACGACCATCCTTCT